AAGTTCACCTAACTTTTGTACAACCGGAGAGAGACGTGCTCCAGGGCGTGTGAAAGCTGCTGTGCCGCAGACGGTGCCCACCCGTGGCTGTTGGTCTTGCCGCTTGTCCTTCACATGCGGGAGCAGTAAGCCGAGTGACCTAATTAACCTCGTTAGCCAGTTCCTCCTCAAGCTCCTGCCCTGCTAGGGGAAGGGAGAGTCTTGGCTTCTTTAAAAGGCGTTTATTAGTTGGCCTTTGCTGCTAAGCTGTGTGCTTACCAGCCTAAAGAATGACTGAATTAGGAGGGCTCCCTACCGGCAGGTTTGCACGCCCTAATAAGTGCTAGTATTAAGTAATTTTTAAGCTAGTAAGCTTTGCCGGTGTCAGGAAGCGGTGGCCACCTGTTCCGCGCTCGTGTTTGAAACAGGACTTGCTCCCGAGACGGGATGTAAGCAGCGTGTGCCTTCTCCCTTCTTGTTCCCAGGCCGTGCCAGGAGTTGTTTTGGCAACAGCCCTGTTCCCAGCTCCTCTCCCCGGCACAACCCGACTGCCCTGTTCAGCCGATGGGGCCGTTGGTTCCTAGCAGACCTGCTCGTACTCCTATAACCCTGCGTCTGGTTTATTTTCCAGGCTGACGAACCAATTGCAGATTATGCAGCGATGGACGACGTTATGCAAGGTAAAGGGGCCCCGCCGGCTCTGTTGGGGATCGGGGAAGCTGCCTTGCTGCCGCGCTTTTGGAAAAACATTTGTGGCCACCTAGGACTGGGTTGGGAAGGGAGCCTTGGGTTGTAGAAACACAAGAGAAAATAGAGACGTTGAAACGTTCCTGTAATTGTCAACCGAAGATGCAGCTGAAATCTGCAGCATGCTTTCGCTCAGACAAAAGATCCTTTTAGAAATGACTGTCAAGAGACTTCTAACATGATGCCTCTTTTCCCCCCCCCCCATCTCCAGTTTGTATGCCTGAAGAAGGATTTAAAGGTGAGAATCTGTTTTTTGTTTGGGGTTTTTTCCGCCCCGTTATTTAAGCCTACGCTGTCTTCAGCTCCATCTTGCAAGCGTGTAACCTCTTGGTGGTTGTCTTCTTGCCCCTCAGGGACTGGTTTACTTGGACACTGATGGTTTTTATACATGCTGGCAGCAGAGGAGTGACCAGAAGGGAAGAGGATTTTGACATGGTAGGGCATTAAAAGAAAAGGTGGATACAGGACTGAACAGTTGCTTGACTCTTCCAGAAGGCAGAAACCCATTCTGAAATGACTGCCCCCCAAAAATGCCTTATGTCAAAGCAGATTGCACTGAAGGACATCCTGACTTGGAGAGAACGTTTCAAATTTTATATTTAATAAAGCAAAAGTGAGGTTGAAAAGTTTAGTAGCAGTAACAATGTATCATGTTTACAGGCAGGCGTTTCTAGCAAGGGAGACAGTGGCGTTCGCGTGTGTTTCTTGACTCAGATTTCGTACCGCGCTCGTCTGTCCAGAAAGGAATTGTAATGCAGTAGATCAAAAACATCTTGATCTGTTCTCCAGTAACTCTTTAGGCATAACCTGCTCACAGATAATCCTGTCTTTGATCCACTATTACTCTTTCCGAGCAGCATGGAAGTAAAAGAAATTGTTAATTGTGAAGAATGTCTAGCTCTTTCCACCATCATATATTTACCCAAAGTGTAAGCCGTGGTCTGCCTACGACAGCCTCCCATCAGTGACTTGTAGCGCCGGAGAGGTGAAGGAGGCGGGGAGCCGCCTTCGTCGCCCTCTCCGGAGGTTTTATTTCTCAGCCACTCGCCTTTTTGCAGTTTTACTTCCAAACATGATGATCTTAACTTTCAATAATCACATGGTCTTTCTCTCTGTGAACTGTGTTTTTAGAAACGTGGAATATTTTAACGACTTTTGATAACATCTTTCTCCAGTGTGTTACTGCCAAGAGCCAGAAATCGTTCGCGCTCTGCCGATTGCTTTGCGAGCTTTGAATCGTTCTTTGCTGGAACCGGAGATACCGAAGAGGTTGAGTGTCGTGCTTGGGTGGTGTTTTCTCCATGTAAAAGAGGTTTTCCCTCTGTTCTCCTTGTTTTCAGGAATGCACTAATGATTTTTTCTTTTTTTTTTTCTTTTTTTTACATCTCCTGTAGCTCCCAGAAAGGATCTCTTCCTATCCCGATTGAGTATTAGTAGCAGGAAATAGTGTACCACTTCCAAGCTTAAAAGGGCACTGTCAAGGTATCTTCGTAATAAAGTTAGCTGTTTCTCGTTACCTTGAGACTTACACTTGTTTCTGTAGCAAAAATCTTTCACCGAATTTGGGCACCGGCGCTTGAGACGGACCGCGCGGGTTGGGTTGCTGCAGCATCGGCTTTAGTTTTTAACAGACTGCCGAAGCCAAACAGCTATTAAAAAGCGCAAGAGCCTTTGCAAGCTGCCGGCGGGGTTAGGGCTGAGCGAGGACGGAAGAGAGGGGGAATATTAATACACAAGAAATCAGGCCCGGTCACCTTGATAGTGTTCCTTTTAAAACATCCCTTTTATCCAGAGAATTATAGCTGCCCTTTGTAAAGTGATGGTTCTCCGTTGTTTTCCTTGCTGTCCGTTGGCTTTTTGTCCGTCCCCCTTCTGCCCTTCATCCCCTATGGCGGGAGCAAGTGTGGGGGGGGGGGGGGGGGGGGGCAGCGGTTCGTAGCTGTTAACAGCGGCTCGGAAAGGTGGATCTTGCGGCCGGGACGACTCCTGCCTTAACCTCGCCTCCGGACTCGGCGGCGGGGACGAGGATCCGGCGGAAGGGCCGGATCCGCGGGGCGAAGCAGTGCAGCCCAGCGGTTTATTCTTTCCCAAGGTAAAGACTTGAGCATGAATTCAGTTGGCCGGCGTTTAGTGCTCGACGAAGCACTAAGCTTCTCCATCCTTTGGAAACCCGGGCAAGAGTTTTTCTTCTTCCTAGACTGAAGCACTCACTTGTGTACATAGTCCCTGGAAATTTGATATTTTCTTCAATTTGCTGGGTTTTTTTGGTTTTTTGGTTGTTACGAGAGTCTCTTCCTTGAGCTTAAACTGTTGCAAAGTAAGTCTCTAAATTTGGCCGGGAAGAATTGTAAACCGGGATGTAGTCACGTCTACGGAGGTAGCGTATCGATGTACCTAACGGCCTTGGTATCGCTGTATCTTACAAGCGCGCAGAGGAAACAGGTACAAGGTGTGATCAAAGGCACATTTACTGTTTTGTCTGTATTTGCAAACATATTGGACGAAAATTGTCGTTTGAGCTGTGGAAGCCTTATTAAAGTGCATACACATGGTCTGGCTGCTTGTGTTTTAACACGTTGGATAGCGGCTGAGGTTTGGTTTGGTTTGGTTTTTTTTTAACTTTGACGGGCTCGATGGAGTTGAGGTGCGTTTACCTGGCACGGCCGCGTGTCAGCCTCGCCGTTGCCGCTGGCCTGAAGAGCGGGTGAGAAAACGTCTCCCTGCGCCGGCAACCTCCCCTCCGTGGTCTTGCCCGGCCACGAGGCGACGGTTCCTCAAGGCTCCTGGGGCGGTGGCAGGGGACGCTCCGGCCTGGCTCCCCCGAAAAGCTAGGGGTGGCCTCTGGGTGGAGGGGGATTTGGCTGGGGCAAAGCCGGACCTGGCCCGGCGGGGTGCAGGAGCCTGTGTCCCGGTGCCTGGGGGAGGAGGGGGCCAGGGGCACCTGCGAGGGGGCATGGGGCACTCCAGGCACTCAGGGAGGGAGGAATGGGGCACCCCAGGGACCCGGGAGGGGAGGGATGGATGGGGCACCCCAGGGACTCGGGGGGGCTCAGGGAGGGGGCACCCCAGACCC